TTCAGTTAGCTGATCAAATTTCTCCTTCGTAACAAATACAAATTCGCTGGAAGACATTGTTAATATGAATCGATATACTGTATGTGTGAACAATTTTTAGTAGCCTAAGTGACTGGTGAACGCTTGCTCAGCTCTACCCGTATATATAGATGTTCGCCAAATAATACGTATTATTTATGGACGGTCACATTATGATTTCGGGATTATGCAGAATATCAAATTTGTTAACTTTTCGACAAAGTCACGCATCATACGATCGACTGGATTATGCAGTATACAAATTTGTTAACTTTTCGGCAAAGTCATCTATCATATGATCGATGCTTCGTAAACTGGATTATGCATTATACAAATTTGTTAATTTTTCGACAAACTCATCTATCATATGATCGATGCTTCATAATCTGGATGATGCAGTACATCAAGATTGTTAATTTTTCAACAATCATATATAATCGATACGTCATAAACTGAATGTTGCAGTATATCAAATTTGTTAACTTTCGACAATCATACGATATGATGCTGCTTCATAAACTGCGTGATGCAGTATATCAAATTTGTTAATTTTTTGACGAAGTCGTCCATCGTACAATCGATACTTGTAATCTGGATTATGCAGTATAGCAAAACTGTTAATTTTTCGACAAAGTCGTTCATTATATGATCGATACTTTAAACTGGATTATGCAATATATCAAAATTGTTAATTCTTCAACAATGCTATCAATCGTATGTATGGTATACTTCATAATTATGATAGATAGTTTTGTACAGTTTTGATTATGACATATTGCATAATCCAGTTAAAGTATCAATGGTATGATGGATAACTTTGTCGAAAAATTGATATACTGCATCATCCAGATTATGAAGCATCATGTCATATTATAGATGACTTTGTCAAAAAATTAACAAATTTGTATACTGCATAATCCAGTTTACGAAGCATGATACATAACTTTGTCGAAAAGTTAACAAATTTGTATACTGCATAATCCAGTCAATCATATGATGCATGACTTTGTCAAAAAGTTAACAAATCCGAAATTGGGCTTTCATAATATTTAAAATTGGTTTTGTTAGTCGCGAGGAGTGTGGTATATAAAAATGAGTTAACTATATGGAAAACTTATCCGGCTATACACCTCGCTATGTCTGCTAATATCTCATCTCTCGAATCCCTTGCATTAAATATTCTAAAAAATTCATCCCTAGAAAAAATTGCAGAAGGCGTTAATGTTTCGGAACTAGACCCATGCTCGTTTTGCAACCGAGAACATTTTTTGTATGAAATAAAATTCCCGATTACCATACTCATCTGTGGACATATATATCATCGCGATTGCATCGAAAAATCCATCAAAAAACGTTCAAAATGTCCAAGACCTGATTGCAAGAAAGAGATAGAATCTACGGTTGATGCTACGCCTGGAAGTCAGAATATCAACGATTTGATGGATATATCCCCGACATTATTTAATGAACCCCTCTTCTATTCGAGTCCGCCTAAAAAGCGTGTTGCTGAATCTGCCAGCAAATCATCCAGCAAGAAAGTGAAGCAGGCTTCAAAGCAAGATTCTCCCACGTTACAAAGACTAATCAAAGAATTGACAACTCCTACCCAGAAAATCGCATCTATATCTAGTAATACGATCATTTTACAGTCGAACGTTTCTGAAATTGACAAAGATTCAGTTAATTTTCGTGAGTTATATGATAAGATTACCAATGCCGAAGACAATAATCAGAAAATTACCCAAGATCTGATTTTTTGCTATCATGACTTTGGGAAAGGTATTAGGCTATGGTTTGATTATTTTAGAAAAACATATGGTGAATATATATCTAATGCTTTAGTTAACGATAAAATCAGGGAGCAATTTCCCAATCAAGATAAAATTACAGAAACTAATCTTAGAAAAAGAAAGAAAAGGGGTAAAAAGATTTTCAGATTTTTTAATGGCATCGGCGGTAAAGAATTAATATGTCGAATTAAATCTTTTAACTCATTTACTATTTTAAATTTATCTCAAGATGATATTGATTATGTAATTGCCCAAATTTTTGCGTAACTTTACTGTGACAAGCGTGTCACACTCCTTCAATCAAAAATAATAAGGATTTCGATTCTATTTTTTGCGTAACTTTGCTGTGACAAGCTTGTCACACTTCTTCCAATAAAAACAAAGAATTTCGCTTGATATGACAAACCAAATAAAGCAATAAATGCATCATGCTAAAGCTTCTTGTTGAAGCTCATATAAATCAATAACGACATTAGTTGCGGTGATTGCGGGAGGGACTACTACAGTATAGCCAATAACACTCGGAGTTCCTGCAACAATTGGTGGGTCCCAGAAAATATCTGATACCGGGATATTGACTTGGTAGGCAGGAATGTTCGGACCTATGCAACTCGTAAGGTTATTAGTATTGAATTGGAGAGTACCGAAATCCCACTATAATATTGTGAAGAATACACTTTAATCCTTAAACATTAAATTACAAGAAATACTGAAAGTAGATTAATCTTACTTCTTGGACAGATACTCCTGGTAGTCCTGCTACTGGTATACTCCCTGGTGGTACTGGTATTTGACGCGTCCATAGCCTGGCCTAATTTAGAAAAAAACTCAGAACAAAACTATATAATGAAACGGGATAGCTAGACAACATACCGTCATTGACCGATGAACTTGTCTATTTACAACTTTTCTGCCATGAAGCTTAATGCCAAATACACAACGCACGTATTGTTGGTGCATCCAATTCGTGCATCTTGTATTCCAGAGAGTGGTGCTTTGGGATGACGCTACCTCACAGAATATTCTCCCATGGGGGTTTCCCTATGTGAACACATAATATTAAAATAATAATTTAAAATAAAGATAATAATACAAATTCAATGTACTTGTGCGTCACTAGGCGGAGGCCCAGGGTAGCAAATACAGTCAAACCTGTTTATACCGGACGGTTTGGTCCAGCTCTTAGCGTCCGGTATAACGAGATTCCGGTATATGT